AGCTTTGATCAGGCCCAAAAAATCAGGCCCTGTCCAACCCGAACCATGGAAGCAATTTTAGGTCCTAGCTTGACCTGAATCTGAACTGTGGAGTGAACGTCATCACTGATTATGACCCATTTTTGGACTATACATTTGTTCTGTCCCTCACAAGTCACCAACTTTATTGATGTAAGGATTGTACATTTGTGCCAACCAGCCCCATCACAGGGATGGTAGACAATGTTAAAAAGTCATGGTTACATAAAATGAAACAACCAATAGAAACCACAAATCAGAACAAACCACCGCACACCAGAGTGACTTGACTGTGATTTATTAAAGAGCAAACAACGTGTTTCGCTTGCAAACCCCCAAATCAGTGTGCCAACTAACCCTGTTCACATTTGACCAAACTTTATGATAAAAATTGTTAGCCAGTTGCCATCAAAATGTAGCTGATACCTATGTCTATGAACTAAGGGAAACACATTTCCAGTATCACAGACTATCAGTCTTATAACACATTTAGTCCACAGACTAAATGCTTTTTTAATTTCAATACTATAAAACTGAAACATTCACCAAAATGTTTTAACATGGATGACTACAGAAAAAGAAAGCAAACATTTTGATTTTCCATTTTTCTTTCTGTGACTTTCAAAGGCCCAGAAATTAGCTCACTAACTGACTGTTGTGTCTGTACATCATGTTTCAGGTGAGCTTTTGGCTGGTGAGAGAAATCTTAACCGCCCACACGCTGAAAATCCGAGCAGAAATACTAAGCCATTTTGTCAAAATAGCAAAGGTGAGTTCAAATAACTGAATGAACGCAAATGTCTTAACAATATGAGGAATACTGATATATTTAAAGACGGAGTTCTATTTATGCTTATTTATGCATTTCCTGTAAAAACAGTGTTCAAACACTGTTTATGAAATAAGGTGTTATTAGAAACCTTCTTGAAATATTTAGTCACTATTCTATCTAATCTATCTATCTAAAACTGAAACGTATGTTTTCAGAGGACAAAAACAAGCTGTTAAGTTGTAACAGCAGGAATAGCTCATTGTTATGTTTGGTAAGCATTTCAGTGCAGTATGAAAATTCATCATCAGACACTGATACGTATTCAGAAATGGAGGCCAGCATCTGTTGAACAGTTAAAGTCTTTTAGTGTAGATTTTTTATTTATTTCATGGGTCGCTGCCAGTCGCTCATAAAAACATCTCTACACAGAATCCAATCTAGTCTGTGAAGCTGCAGCACACAGGAGCTACCCAGGTACTTTATTACTTTATATGAGGGGTGATGGAGGAAGCAGACATGCTGATGGCAGAAAGAAAATGGTGTTTCTACTCTTGTGGTCCGATCAGGGAATAATAGCAGGAGTTTTTCCCTGCGATCATAGTGTGGGATGGAAAAGGAAACGTAGAACCACCTGTTCTTGGCTAATTGCAGAGACACTGACTAATGACACCAAACTACCAAAGCACGCTTTATATACCTTTTTTTTTAACTTTCTGCAAACCCAGAATGTTTTTACCATAGGCAAGTACTCTGCAATTATGGATTAGGGCTTCAACTACTACTGAGGTGTGTAAATGGCATTGTCCCAGACGTGTGGAAAATGGCTGATTCCATGCCTCTTCACAAAAGTGGAGATAAGTGTACCCTATGATTTTGTTCCCAAGATGTCTAAAAGTGGATAATGATAAATTACATTCGCTCAATCTCTGATGGAGGCACTTTAACTTTGTCAAATTAAAAGCATAATTGGGGTTAATTACATCTGGCATCTTATTTTCACAGGTTTAGCCATTTTTTTTTCTTTCATTTTCAGTAATAACATTGCGCTTGCCAAGTACATTTCTGGGAACATCATTCTAAAAACAGGTAGTGGATAGATACACAAGCACAAGCTTCTTTGGAAGAGAAAATGAAGGTGAACAATAGATTATAACGCTGTCATAAACATCCATTACTTTACAGACACACTTATGTTGTGAGTGCAAACATATTTCCTGCTTTCCTGTCAGACTTTATTGTAATGTCACCATGGTTCCTGATTTGGTGAGTACAGTGTTATCGTCACTGATGGAAATGATGATCAAAACTACAAAATTAGACTCAAGTTGTAATCAACTCAAAATATCCTTTAAATCACCAAAGTAATGACAGGCGGGGTACATGGGATTGCGGTTCATGGACGGTATCAATCACCCATTGTTTTTGAAGCTATGTTGACTTACTTACAAGTGCATTATTACAGTGCAACCTGACTGAAGTTGTTTGTTAGACCTAGGGTAATACAGTAATAAATGTTATTTTTAATAAAATCTGTTTGTTCCCAGAAACTGTTGGAGTTGAACAACCTTCATTCTCTGGTGTCAGTGGTGTCCGCTCTGCAGAGCGCTCCCATCTTCAGACTCAGCAAAACCTGGGCGGTAAGACGTCAGCTTCATCCTCTGCTAGAAGTGGTGTTGGGGGGAATGCCAATACTTTGCCCGTATCAGCAAATCATTAACTAAAATAAACTTTCCAGACAGGGCGGCAGTAGAATCATCATGGATTTCAAAAAGCTCCACGTCTTTGCTCCCCCAGAACTCATTGTTGGGTTTCTCATAATATTTTTGTGGACAGATCAGGAAACTGGATCAGATCTTGGTGGACAGTTCTTTGTGGCCTCAGATAACCGTCCTTCAGAGAAAATAGAGATAACATGTGGTACTTGGCTGTCCACTCACAATGATTTTTCACTGGCACAAACAGATCCTATTCAGTAAGTTTATTAGTACTAACGTGTACAGTAGCTGGCCAGTACCAATTTTCCAAACAGGGCGTTTGAATGATTAGTTCCACATCATAGACTGCTGTTTGTGAGCTCTTATACACCATATCTCCTCCAGGCCATTAAAGTGCACATTGTTTGGTCCTGGTTTTAATATTTGAACATGAATTCTGATTTTATTGTACTGGATATAAGACCATGAAAAATGGAAGTGTATGTGCCAAGACACATGGAGAAATACTCTGAGGCTAGTTTCTGTTGATTTGATTTTATAAAGCAGTACAGAGGGACAGTTACTGTATCAGTAAAGAGCAGAGAAGCTTCTAAAAACAATCGTACATTACAGATATAGTGAGGGGAGAGGGGTTGTCAACTTTAGTCAACTATGTGGTGATAATATAAATGTCGGTTTCAGACCTACTTAATCCAGATACTGAAGGTCCTGATTCTGACATTAATTGATGTTGAACTGTATCCAACTTCCAATTATTTAAATTTAAATTATTCTGCCAGTTTTTAGTTTGGTCTATAAAATGTCATGTGCTTGTTATTGTCTTACAGTACAGAACGCAAAGATATATATTTTATGAGACAAAGAAAATTTTATGAATACTCACGTTTAAGAACCTGGAACCAGGCTATGCTTTAAATTTTTCCTTAAAAAGTGAAATATGAATTAATTTACCATTATAATTGCTGATTCATTTTCTGTCAGTTGATTAACTGGCCAATTGTTTAAGTGTTAATTCCAACTACGCTTTCAACTAAATGGTTTCACTTAGCTGTAGTGGGTATCTTCCAATCCACCAGGCCTGAACAAAACCAACCAATCAGAGCTAAGAAAGATAGTTGATTGTTAGGTCTCATTCCCAGGGTGTCAAATATAGACACTGGGAATGAGATTCATCAATTGTCTATCTTCGGAAAATAACACAACAACAGCAGCACAGAGTGAGACATATTGATATAGGGGAAAAGCCACCCATACATAACCACATTAAAACACAAGATCAAGTACACATTAGTGACTCCTGTCTCATGCCAAAACATTGTTTATGAACAGGTCTGACTCACCCACCTTCCCCTTTTCAGTTTGTTTTGTTTTGTACAGTTGATGGAAACCAATACCCCTTCAAAAACCTTCCAAGTCCCTTACTTTGTGCCTGAGCAAAGTATTGTGTCACATACTGGCAAGAAAGAAAACAAGGCACTTGCCAAATTTGTCACGGTCACTCAGGATGAGGCACATATAGCAGCAGACATACAGAGGGGAAATACTCTAACATATGTTAGCTTTGTAGTCAAAAGTTGTTGAGTATATTCCATTGTAAATCATCACTTAGCTTTTTAGTTATGGGTTTTGGAACACAGACAGACTTTGGAGTTTGGTTCAAATAAGATGTTACTGATGTTTAATAGTTCCCACTCAGGTAATGTAGGCTCTGAATGAGAATGAGAAATCAAAATGTGTGTACTTTTTGTAACCTGTTGTTGTAGTTGATCAGTCGGAAAGACAAGGCCACATTTGAGAAGCTGAACTATCTGACATCCAAGGAAGAGAACTACACCCGCATGAGAGAATACATCCGCTCCCTGAAGATGGTGCCCTGTATTCCTTACCTTGGTGAGTCCTCCATCTCTGCTCCACTATTATTTCAATACATCCTGCTTCACATCCTTTTCAGTCCAAGTCAGTCCATCTGACTAGTCTGAATTCCAGTCGGTGGTTTTAAGCCTTGCATAAATACACTGTATACAGTATACAGTGTATTTACTGTATATACTGTTTAGCTGCACGGTCATGATATACAGACTTGTTGATCTACTTTACCAGTTGTGTAAATATCACTTTTCTAATCACATAGCTCCGGGATCACATTACTTGTAGGTTTGGTTTTTAACATGTTATCATGACAGGTGGCTTATAATTGTCCAGCTGTGAGGAAATATGCTGAGCACTACGTTTTGGTGTTGTTCCAACCAGAGAAAATTACAATGGAAATTAATTTACACTAATAAGTTAACAAACCCTAGTTGGTTAACTACACTAGGTTGATTTGGCCTCTGTACTGGCCGGGGGCAACACGTTTTCAGTCTCATTCTCGTGAACGTGAATTTCTTCAGATTTGGCACAAATATCCACTTAGACTTCAGGATGAACTGGTTAGATTTTGGGGGTCACAAAAAAATGTTTGGGCCATAACTCTAGAATGATGTGGTAATTGCATAGACTGTATGATTTTAAAAATGGACGTAGTCCCTGTGACGTCCCCCATAGGTT